GATATAATTTTTGGATCTACTAAATCCTCCTTGGGGAAAGAATTTGCTAAGACTATGTAGGCAGAATTTGAAATGAGCTTGATGTGTGAACATAAGTTCTTTCTAGGAATTAAAACCAATCAAACTCCATAAGGAACATACATACATTAAAGCAAGTATGTTAAAGAACTTTTAAAGAAATTTGATTTATCAGAAAGTAAGCCATCCAAAACTCCTATGTATCCTACATGCATTCTGGAAAAAGAAGAGGTAAGTAAGAAAGTAGAACAGAAGCTCTACAGAGGTATGACTGGTTCTCTCTTATATTTAACAGCTTCAAGACCTGATATTCTATATAGCGTTTGTCTTTGTGCCAGATTCCAATCAGATCCTAGAGAATCTCAGTTAACAGCAGTTAAGCGAATTTTCAAGTATCTGAAAGGTACTACTAATCTTGGTGTTTATTATGAAAATCCAATGAATATAAATTAGTAGGGTACTATGACGCTAACTTTGCTGGAGATAGAATAGAAATAAAAAGTACTTTTGGAAGCTGCAAGTTTCTAGGGAATAACCTAATTTCATGGTCCACTACTGCACTATCAACTACTGAGGCTGAATATATAGATGCAGCTGGATGCAGTAGTTAGATGCTCTAGATGAAAAGTCATCTTGAAGATTTTCATATTTATGAGATTAACATTCCTATCCTCTACGATAAAACTTCTGCTATATGTCTTTCTAAAAATCCTAATTTACATTCTAGGGCTAAACATATATAAATTAAACACCATTTCATTAGGGACTATATTCAAAAGGGAATTATTAGTTTAAAATTTATAGATACAGACCATCAATGGGGTGACGTTTTCACTAAACCCCTTTCTGAAGATAGATTTAATTTCATTCTTAAACACCTCAATATGGAATTATGCCCAGAATAAAAGTGTAGTTTCTGTATATTTAATCCTCAGAATTTTTTAATTTATTTTTGTGAACATCTAAATAATAGTTCTTCAGAAGTGAGAAGGAAAATTGTGTCACGAACTATCCAGAAGATCTGAACATTTTCCAAAAACGCTTCATTTTTAAGCTAGAATCCAGAAGTTTACCATATCAACACCTGTCAACTATAAACACTAATTCCCTCTCTAAGGATGAACACTTGTTCAAAATCTGAAGGTCTGAAACAGTTAAGTTGATGCATTGAGGCGTGAGTTAAATTGGTAATTGTTCAAAATCTTCATGCCACCCCCCTTCTTCTTATGGACAACACTTCTTGGGAAGCCTCACGGGAATCAAAATGTAATGAACCATCTCCTGAACCTCAACCTCTTCCTCTTGTCATTTTTAAGGACACGGGCAAGTCAGTTAAAGAATATCCTGAGAAAGAATATGTTGCACCTACTTCTGAAAATGAGGGTTCTTCTGGTGAAACAACTTCCTCTTCTCTTATGTTAAAAACTCTGGAAGATTAGAAGAAAGAGAGTGTAGCTGTTAAGGAAAGGTTGGACAAACAGGATGAAACGAACAAAGAAATTAGGGGCATGCTAGGGAAGCAACAAGAATCAAACAATCAGATCAAAAGTCTATTGGAAGTCTTGTTCACACGACTTCCACCTCCTCCACAACCTTATTTTTGATCTTTTGTTTTTTATGCTATGTTTTTTTTGTTTAAAAACCGATGTTCATCTGCTTCTATCTGTATTAATCTACTTTGAATGCATAATCCATTTTGTTCTCTTTACGTGTTTTTATTGCTTATTGATTTATGACAAAAAGGGGGAGAATGTAAGATATTTTGAATATAACACTATCGGGACTTAATAACAGTCATTCTGAATATCATAACCTTTGTTTCACTTTTTAAAAGCAACAAGAAAAGTCTCTAGAAAGTAACTTATATCAAATGGACTTATCAGAACTTCCTTCAGAAGCTCTAATCCAACATCTTCAAGGAAGTATCTATTTTTTTATCTGAGTATTCAACTCAGGAGGAGACCCCAATTCTTTATGTTCTTACGTGATGTATCAAAATATACAAGTATTTGTCATCATCAAAAAGGGGGAGATTGTTAGAACATAGTTTTGTTCTACATCTTAGCAAATAGTTTTGATGATAAAGAAGCATAGAAGTTGGCAAACAAAATTACGCTTAGAAGATCTGATAAGAGTTTTTGTACAACTATTGAAATATCACACTTAAAGAAGTTCTAAATGCTAAAACTTCTGAAGCACCAAAGCTACACGCTAAAACTCTGATGAAGTAAATACTATGATGAACTAAAGTCTCAATGTTAACATTCTTATTTTGATAAGTGGTTAAAGAAGAAAGTTCTGATGCATTACAATTCAATCATTACAAATCAAAAAGTAACGGCTGGTACCAGAAAAGATCTTTATTTTTGGAAAGTACATTAACAACTTTTAACCAACCTTCCAAAATCATCTTTTGATACCTCATATGCTTCGCCTATATAAAGGAGTCTTGAAGGAATGATCAAACACACTTGCGCATACAAAGATATACCTTCACAAGCTCTCTTATGTATATTCATTGTGCTTTAACCTTGTGTATAAATCACAGTTGTGATATAGTTTTTCTAGAAAACACCATTGTACACATCTTTTTTCATATTTTGTAATACCTTAAGAAACCAAGTTGTGGTTTAGTCTCAAGAAGACATTGACGGTAGTCATTGTGATTGTGTAATCAATGTTTTTGATTAGTGGATTAAGACCTTGTTTGTGTGAGGCTAAATCACCTTGGCGGGTGGACTAGAGTAGTTTGAGTTCAAACAAACCAGGATAACCAAACTTATCATATTGTTTTAATTATTTGAAAACCCCAATTCAAACCCCCTTTCTTGTGTTTTTCTATCCTTTACACATCAACACCAATATCCTCATGGTTAATTATACAACAACAACAATTCTTCATTAGAAATAGAACATTCCCAATTAATCTACTATACAAAGCATTTGCATACATTTCACAAAAAGATATAACTTGATAGTATAAAACACCCGTCCATGCATCAAATAGTTAGAATTCTTGCACTGAAATTATTTTTAAGAGAAAGTATCTTAAACCAGTGTTCCAACTGTCATACCCCATTTTTTGCCCCTAATTTGTTCATTCATAACATCATATGCATTTACATCATAAATCTTTCATTCATTTGAAATATAAAGACATGGGCTCAAATGGCTCTTGATATTAGGGTTTTCCCCTATGAATTGAGGTTATTATCTCTCTCAAGTTGATACCACTGTTCCATTTATCACTCTTGGTATAAAATCAGGGTTTTGGATCTACAAGCATCATGGTTATTTTCCGTGGCAAGATTCCTCGAGATACAAGTTTTGCTTCATTTTAATTTCTTCAAGAAACCAGTGCATTAGGATTTGACTTGTGTACTCAAGACTTTATCATGAATTCACTATGAATGTCCTTGAGCTAGGTTTTGTTCTTCTCACCATCTCAAGCCTTTTCCATCCATATGCACTCAAGGTTCAAAGAATTAGGGCTTCTCCTAACTTGCTTGAGCGTTGATAATGATTCTTCAACAAAGTTCATTATGCTAAGGGTCTATATCTTATCATGCTTGAGTTTGTCAACATTTCAATTGAAATTCATTGGAATTCATACTTCATGTCCTATCATCCATCTTTAAGTTGTTCTTCAAGACATTAATTTTATTTCAAGATTAATAGTTATCAAGCTAGGATGATTTTGTGGATTAAATTGTGAAACATGAATCACGGCATAAGGTGTGAAGTTGTGGATTCTTTGTAAGCAAAACATTTTTCCTCAAGAAGTTATTTTGGGTTAAAGGACTGCTTGTATATATTTCTTGATTGATTGTAATATGGACTAAGTTCATTTGGGATAAGTTGTCTCATTTGCAAGGCAATGTGGATCCATGAACTCAAGTGAGGTTAAGGTTCATTGTTCGAAATACAAGATTGGAAGGATCATTCATGGCTAATTTCTCGTGATTCAAATGACGAAGGCGTATATCATGATTGGTTCAAGAGTGCAAAGCAAGGTTTAAATCCAAGTTTCAATATTTACCATTCATTGATTCATAAAAAAATTAGGTTCACAAGATACAAAGAGAGACTAATGACCTAAAATCCTTCCCAAGCTTCACCAAAACCACGTCTGAGATGTTTGCTTAATGATGCATCAAAAGCGTTACATAAGTTGTCCAAACATGCCATCAAAGCTTGTCACAAATCTTGCCAAGAGTTTGTCCAAACTTGTTGCTAAAGCATTACTAGCTTGTCACAAATCAAAGCACGTATCAGATGTTACAGCTCAACATATTTCAAACTTCCCTAACAAGCTTCATAACAGAATTTGAGATGAGTAATAAGATTCAATCTCAATCATTCATTTGTTATAACAGACTTTTAAAATCAAGGGAGGAGATGTTTTTACCTGTAGAAAAATTCTCAGATAAGCCAGGCCATCTGATATATAACAGTTTTCATCTTCAGATCCAAGGGGAGGAGAGGAAGAAAAACACGATTTATTTCTGCACAAAAAAAAAACTTCTGTGAAGCAGCAAAATTCCTCTGCAATTTCTTGCACAATCTTGATCTCAGAAAGCTTCCTCTGCGGAATTCCTTTACAGTTTCTGAGTCTCCAATCTTCATTGCACAAAAGCATCAATATTCATCAATCATCATCGTTACTTCAATATCATCTTCATCTTCCTCGCATACTCATTCATACAACAACACCTCTGCTTCAGGATATTCATCACAGTTTCGCAAGTCCAACAACAATAAATGTTTGAGAAGTAATCGAAACGGAATCAGAGAAGAAAAGAAAACAAATTCAAAATACGCATACCTGAGTCGTTGTTCTCCGGTTTTCTGTTCGTTTTCATCAAGCTTGAAGAGCCACCAGAGTTCTCCAGTATGTAAGCCTTACATTACTTATTGTTTCTGCATCCCTGTATGATAAGATCAGTAGCGTATAGTGTTATTGTTTCCTTCCATTTCGGATTTCATCGTGAACGAACCGAGAACGTGTTGGCTGTTGAACGCGATGGTTGGAAGTAGGATGTGAACGAGAGAAGGAGGTGAAGCTGACAAAGCAGAAAACGAACTGTGATGATGAGTGAAGGCGAGGTCGAAGAGCTTTGAACGAGAATTTGAGTTGAGCGAATCAGAGATGAGCATTGGAAGAAGAGAAACGACGCGACGATGCTGTGAATGGCGAGGTTGAATCGGAGCTGAGTGAAAGATGGAGTAGACAACAAATTGAAGCAGAACGAGGTTGATACGCGACTGAAATACGAAATCGCGAGCGGACGAAGAGGAAATGGTGAATGTTGAGATTGCGTCGAATCGGTTGGTCGAAGTAGGCGATGACGTTTGGTTTGAATCGGTGGATGAAAGCTTGAGACGGTGGATAAACAAAGTTCATTGATGCAGCCTGAGATGTTCATAGCACAGTGTTGTTGCAGTGAGTTCGTCGGAATTCGAAGCGAGAACGAAGATGACGAATTCGTGAAGGCAGCCGCGACGCTGCAATTTTGAGTAAAGGGAAGAAGTTGATTCGACACAAATTCCCAACCCTATCCCTCTTCTCTTAAACGAAATTTTTTTAATTTGTTTTACTAAATAAAATTTTGAAATAAAAAATAATAGTGAATTTTGGAAAATTTATTTGGTTTAAGTTTATGATTGTCTTTGGGACGAAATGAAGAATTCGTTGGGCCTGCCTCATACCTTTTTTTTTCTTCCGCCCATTACCATTGTTTTTGGAACCTGAAGATACTGGACAAAAAATAACCATCCTGGGTCCAGACTTAGGCCTAGTGCCTAAGATTCTACACCATACCCCAAGGTTCCAATTTCACACCTCCCTCTATTTTTCTTTCTTCTAATCTCTCTTTTCCATTTTAATTGTCTTGGTTTTAATTTCTTTTATCAATTCTAGGTATTAAAATAATAATAGTAAATAATAAAAAGATATATAAGAAAATGTTTTAGGTTTTTTTTTAGAAGTATTTTAGGATTCAATTAAGTGCTATTAGTTCTTCATGTTCTTAATTTCTTTCTTTAAATCAAGTTTAAACATCATGTTTTATGTGTTTTCTTTGCGTGATATTGATAAGATGCTTAGGTATTGAGAATAATTTTCTATTAATGCCATGCTCCTTTAGGATTCTATGAGACGACTAATCTCCCTTTTGATCATTTTATGTTGATTAGACCTTAGGATTTCGATACAAGCATGATAAATTTAGGATAGTCCTTCATCTCATCTCATCTTCTTTAAAAATATTCTCCCTCCTTTTGAAAACTCTTCTTGTTTTTTTTAAACTTGAAACACTTTGATAATAAACTTGGACTTAGGTCCATGCATTTTCAAAACATTTTTATGAATAAATTTCAATCAACTTAATAATACCTTTACATTTTTGTCAGAAGACTAAAAGTCGATCAATCTCATTTCAATTCATTTTTCCACTTTGACTTTTACTTTAAAAAAATTTTCTCAAAACATTAGACTCTTGTCAATCCTTGTAGTGATTCAAACAACTATACTTCTATAATATGTAGTGAAGAGAGATATTTTCTATTAGGGTGTTGAGTGAGGCATTGTTGATTTTAAAATCCAAGCCATATCCTACACTTTGAGATGATGCAAATACTCTTTTCTCATGATTATGGGTAGTAAGTATGTTTTCCACACGGACAATGACAACGATGTCTTATCTCATAAAATTAACCAACACACTTTTGTTTTAAATTTTTTTAAAAGAAGAACTACGAGTGTTCTGATTCCTGCTGGGATACATAGGCACTGGATTGAAGATCCGGGCGAACGCAATAATAAAAAACTTTCTTTTTTCCCAAATTGATTTATTCATGCAAATAACTCTTTTTAATAACCATCATACACAGATTTACAAAGAGGTTCCTGCAGAGTACCATAGCTGTTTAGGGTGCTAATACCTTCCCTTTGCATAACCAACCACCTTACCTTGAATCTTTCCCCCTCTTTTGGGTTACTCTCTCTTTTCCCATTCCTTTGGAAACAATAAAGCGCGGTGGCGATTTTTATTTTGAGTTGTATAAGTCTAGTCAATACAATGGCTTAGTCTTAAACATTTCTACCGCTATAGAAAAATAGCGACTTCACTGGGAAAAGATTGACCTCTTGCTGGTCCATCCCTAAGTGGTTTGAGCCTATCTTTGTTTATCTGTGTATATGCTATTATTTGTTGTATATTATTTGTTGTATATATGCTTTTTTGCAGGATTTTTTCTAGTCTTCAGGGTTCAGTGATATTTGTGTGGTGAGATAAGTCCTATACCCGTACTTCAGTCCACTTATGTTTAGGACGGGAGGTATAGTCATGTTAACTTTGAGGGAGTAATCCCAAAAAAGGAGACATGAGATCCCCCACTCAGTGGAGGCCCCTTTGAATGTAGTTTCGTTTACCGAGTAATTGGGGAGACGTGCTGCTTTCAACCTGGAAGCCTGCTAAAGCTGAGGACCGTAGAACCCCTAACCCATCTTGGCCTTTTAAGAGTAGTGCGGAAGCTATGACAGCGTAATCCCGAAGTGGTTGTAACGCGATACTATACTCAAATGAGTTTTTCCTGAGAATATTACTAATTACTGAGTAATCAGGACGTTGGTAATATCCGAAGGAAGGATGTAGACTATGGGAACCTTTTAGAACCTTGATTCGGCAGGTGATAAATTATTAGTACATACCTTGTGGGTTAGTTGTTACTTTGGTTCCATGCTCGTGACGCCGGACTTTTGAACATGTTCTGTTTGTTTAGAGTATTGTACAATGATTATCCAGATTATATGAGGACCTTTGATCCCATGCCTTTGATCTTATGAATGTGAATATCATCATCACATGGAGTTTATTATGACAGGTGTCGTACCTCAAATTTGTCCTACCTCGATGATTTTTTTTTGTTGAGATTAAGATAGAAGAATTATTTAATTAAAGATGGTACAACAATATCTGATGGTCCATTCTTAAAATTTAAGCCAACCGGGGGGTGTATTTTAATTCAGGAAAATGGGGCTTTCTAAATCAGAAAGACTAATGTATTTGTTGACCTATTCGTAAGGCATGTTGTCCTATGGCCCATGCGATTAGAAAATTGAAAACTATTTCAAAAAAGAAATTAAATTTTAATTACATAAGCTCAATTAAGAAGGGTTGTTGCTAGTAAGAAGGTGAGGTGAAAATTCAAACTGCAAGCCCATTGAGTTTGTGATTAGTCCATTTGACGTCTTAAGAAAAAAATCATTTCCTTTTTACTATTATCCTTAAAATTGTCATTCCATTAAATATTTTTAAAAAAATTAGTAAGTGATGAATTTAAAATTATTTTGTAGATGTCTATTAAAAATACTTTTTGCGAAAACAGGATTGTTGTGTTCGGGAAAAATAGTAAGAAGGCCCGCCCATTAAGTCTTTTATTGTTTTAGTAATAAGAAAGGAGGGTGCAATTTCAAACTACTGGACCAATAGAGCCATTAAAACCTAGCTCGTTTGGTCTTTTCTGAAATGTTGAATAGAAGAGTGAGGGGTTGTACGTTTTTCCAGGGATTCAAATAATGGATATAGTTTGGGCCTGCTCAATATTGGCTTATGTTTAAAAACTGTTACTACTAAACATTATTTTATTACAATTAAATATTTTTTTATAAACTATTTATTAAAAAAATTCCTTTTGTAATGAGCATATTGTGTTTCGGAAAATATTGTTGCTAGCCCAATGGAGACATGCCCAGTCTGTATCAAAGGTTGGAAATTTGTTTTTTGCAATAACAAAGGCATATTTTAGGCAGTTCAAAAACCCTAGTAAGTAACGTAAGGCCTAAATTGAATTAGAAACAAATGTTGTATCAATCACAACAGTATATGCGCACATTTTTCTTCATTAAACGCTTACTGTAGAAATTAAAGCAAGATCAGATCTTGGCTTGGTGGAAAATATGCAGAATAAATCTAATAATAGGATAAAATCTCAATTATAGTTAAACAATACAGAATCTACAAAACAAATCTCAGTTTGTTACAAACAAATCCAATTCAAATCTCTAATACACAAATTACTCTCATCTCAGCAAATATATATTACAATTGCAATCAGAATCAATAAATTACAAATCCCTAACTTTCCTCTCAGTCCCTCATCAAAGCTTAAATTGTAACTCCAATTTCTACAAAGCCCTAATTCGATACCTATAAATCACAATACAGACACGAGGGGAAAGGGGCTAGAGAATATAGAAATGAGGATAATAATACAGAAGAAAGATTGAAAAACGGATTCATGAGCTTGAATATAGGAACAAGGAAAAGAAATTGAAGAAGAGGAACCCGGAGAAACTCACTCACTGTTAAAGACAAAATAAGGAAGCAGTTAGTGTTTCAACATCTGAAACCCTAATCGCCACTGAACATTTCCAAGCTTCACCGTTGTTTCAACCTTATCATCACCTTCGAACAACGCGGAGATCTGCGAACAAGAAGAAAAAGGGGATTAACATCAGATTAGAAGACAACTCAAAGTCAGAAAGCGAGAACACGAGGGGTAACAAACTCGGCTTTTTCTTATTTTTGTTTGTGATTTTGTTGGGTTGTCATAATTAGGTTTATGGGGTTACACCGCTGCGGTGGTGGATAGTAGGGTTTGGAGGCAAGGTTTGAGAAGAAGTAGAAGAAAGGGTTTGGAAGAGAGAGAGGAACAATGCTGTAAAACAAGAAATTGAATTGTAAAAATGTATTAAAATTAAATTTTAGTCTATCGTATCCTGTGCACGCGCGCCTACAATAACCAACATGTACCCTTAATTCTATCCATATGATTATTATCAGACGGCCATAGGCCAAGTCCCACGATAGCTTGCATGCACCCGTGCCACACATAATTGAATCAGCCCTTGCAAACATTCAATGGGCCGAGCCCAGTTTCTTTTTGCACATCCTTTTTTTTTAATTGCTAAATACCAAAACACCTCACCCCCCCCCCCCTGGCCTGGGTTCGTAGTGGGCCTAATCTAACTGTTTTCGACACCCCACTTTTTTACTTAACAACAAAAAGATGCACCCCCTTCTGAAATTAGTTATATTCTATATTTTTTATATAATTATTATTTTCTTACTATTTTTATTATATTATTATTTTTTATTATTATTATTAGTTATAATTATTATTATCATTAATAGTAATTTTTATTTATAGTATTATTTATTATATGTAAATATTACTAAATTATCAAATAAATTTATTTTTATATTAAAATTGCATATATTACTTTATATATCATTTGCATTAAATTATTTTCTAATCATGCATTAATCAAGATCTTTGCAAATAATATGACTAAAAAACACAAACAAATCATCAAATTATTTTTTACAATAAACTAAGCTAATCAACTGTCTTTCTGCAAAAG